TTTCTGGATTGGTCAAGTTTGTTCGATTCCGAGGAGATTTGATTTGCGGTCATCCGTTCGGGCCAGCCAGATCTACATAAATTTTAAGCCATAAGTTTCCTACATCAAACGTTTAGATCCGCTGTGCATAGGTTTATGTTTGAATGTTTGTCCGTGATTTGTTCATATCGAGATCCTCATAGGTCCCAACAATGGGAACATCTAGCAAGTAGCATGAATCTAGTATTAAGTGAATAGCGAGTAAACCTATTTCGATTACAAGTCCATACATGTAAAATCCTTTCGACATCCAATTTCCCGATTAAATCTTTGGGTATGATTTTGTCTAAACCCAAATTGATTTAATAACTATGATTCCATTTTAAGGTTTAGTAATTCATTTATGAATCTCTATTCATCCCGCCTTGGCGAAGGACTTAGAATTACTAACTATGAAACACATAGGAAATTCAATTATCTTCATAAGTATCGAATCCTTTGTTGGCCACTGACAAACTTCCATACATATTAATATAATACCCAAAATATCCCTTTATACGATTGTGCTAGCAATCAAAAGGATAAATCAAAGTAAAATATAATATGCACAAAGTTACCATCGTGCCTCAAGTCTAAGGATTAATCATGTACTATTGTAACATGAAAGTTCTTATTCGTCATGATAAACTTTCATTAAGAATTTTCATACGGTCATGTTCAGTGAACTTGTTCTCTAACAAGCACCCACATATATGTATTTGCGTCTCACGCTAATGTTGATGGAATGCAACATTCTTATCTAATAAGCATACATACTATGTGCAAGTCTTTTTCGGATTTATTCGATATCCCATCTCGAAACATCCAACGACTAGAAACTGTATTTAAGATCACAGCTTTCAAGATATGTTCCATGATCACCATCTCTATGCGCAACCATATCTTATAGCTATAAGTGGTCTAGAGATTTTATCTTAAGTGCAAATATATGATAAATGCATACTCTTAAAATAAAGTGATGCCTTATTATTTAATATAATTCCAATAGATTGTATTTACAAGTAGAATACGTCCAATTTGATTGGAACGCCGGGTATCCTACTCTAACAGCGAGGACACACTCAACTTCATCTGGGAATTTTACAATGTCTTCAACATCTTCCCTCTCAACGGCCTGAATGACGAGCAGTTGAAGATGAGGTGCTTCCCAGAGACACTAAAAGACCGGGCCAAGGCCTGGTTCATGACGCTTGCACCGGCATCTCTAACCACCTGGACCAACGTGAACACGAAGTTCATTGGAAGGTACTACTTCCATCAAAAGACCCAGGAGCTCCTGTCACAGATCGTCTCATTTACTCAACTACCAAGTGAGCCTCTTCACGAAGATTAGGAGAGGTTCAAGGATCTCCAGCGGCAGTGTCCTCATCACAATCTTTCGCAGGGACTATTGATGAACTGTTTCTACGACTCCCTCAATTAGAACTTACAATATATGGTTGATAATGCTGCATGAGGAGACATCGACGCAAAGACGGCCGAAGAGATGTTTGAAACTTTTGAGATGATGAGTTCTAACTCGTCTCAAAAGAGAAATCGAGGAAAGATGTCGTAGTCAGTGAAGTGTCTTCTGCACAATACATGATGGCCCATCAAATTTCTGAACTCATAGAGCAAATGCAGCTAAGGAATGCAAGAGGAGGCCAGCCAGTGCAGACCATGGTGGTAGACACATACGGGGCATGTGGAGTTCAGGGGCATAGATCCGAGGTGTGTCCATCAACATTCGACCAGGATTTTGGAGAACAGTATGCAGATGTCAACGCCCTCCAAGGATATCATAACCGGCAACCTAATGACCCCTTCTCCAACACGTACAACCCCGGGTGGAGAAACCACTCACACTTCTCGTGGTCAACAACAAAAACACTCTCCAGCCACCCCATCCAAACTTCACCCAACAGCAAATCCATCCAAACTTCATACAACAGCAACCCCGTCCAACTTCATCCCCCGTACGAACTACCAACAACAACACAATCCGCAACAACAAGCCCAAGGGCCCGAATCGAGCTCGTCAAATCAAGATGACAAGCTGGACAAGATCCTTCAGTTCATTATGAACCAAGATTCATCGATCAAGCATCTTGAGACGTAAGTGGGCCAGCTTGCCACGAGAGTCAGGAATATGGAGGCAGATTCAGACAAGGGAAAACTTCTGAGCCAACCAGAACAAGCCAAGGCAATAACAGTGTTAAGGAGCGGGAAAGAAGTTGAAAACAAGATAAAAATGCCCGAGCCTGATGAACCCAAGCCAACCGATCAGCACGAAGAAGCAGAGGGGGGCGTGGAGAAGAGCACAGAGGCCGACTCATGGAAGCCAAATGGTTCATTGCTTCACAAGTCTCCAAACCCATATAAGCCACGCATTCCTTTTCCGAGTAGACTTCGAGATGAGAAGCAAGAACAATAATACCAGAACCTATACAACATGCTCTCGAAGGTTAACGTCAACTTTCCTCTCCTAGACGTGATCAAGAATATGCCATTGTACGTGAAGTTCTTCACGGAATTGTTCACAAAGAAGAGAAAGTTCGGCGATGGAGAGAAAGTGGTGGTCTATGATGCGGCAAGTGCAATGCAGCATGACTTGCCCAAGAAGGAACGAGATCCTGGGGGGCTTCGAGATTAAAATAGCCCTCGGGAATGGGAAAGAAGCTTCGAGCATGCTTGATCTCGGAGCGGGAATTAACCTCATGCAATTCTCTATCTTCCATAGGCTCGGTCTCAGAGACTTGAGACCCACTCGGATGTGCTTGCAGCTGGCCGAACGTTCGATCCGATACCCCAAGGAGGTGGTGGAAGATGTCCTTGTTCGAGTAAGGAAGCTTATCGCCCTGGCGGACTTTATTGTTCTAGATGTGGGGAACGTTCAGAAGAATGGGAAGAATCACACCATCCTTCTCGGCAGACCATTTATGGCCACCACCAACACTCTCATTGATGTAAGGAATGAGACCTTGAACATGAGAGTCCTAGGAGAGTCGGTGTCCATTTCTGTCCGAGAAGCCACCTCAGCATCCTCGGTGAACTTTGTGGAGGAGTGTACCTTTGTCGATGTGAGTGACCCGTTCATGGAAGAGATTATTGTACGAGATTTGGAAGAGAGGTTGATGCCCGACCTTGAAGAGGAAGAAGAGCCAACTATTGAGCTCTTTGTAGTCGACGAGCCCGACAAACCAAACCCATCCACACTAGAGCTCAAAGAACTTCTCCGCCACCTCAAGTATGTTTTCCTCGACGATGAGAAGAAAAAGTCGGTTATCATCTTTGCCTAGCTTAACTGGGACGAGGTGAAGAGGTTGATTGATGTCCTCAAGAAGAATCAGAAGGCCATTGGCTGGAGCCTATGTGACATTAAGGGCATCACCCCTTCCACGTGCATGCACCTGATCGTTTTAGAGGATGGTGCCAAACCATATCGAGATAGCCAACGAAGGCTAAACCCGAACATGATGGAGGTGGTGAAGAAAGAGGTGTTGAAACTTTACTCCAAGTGACTTATTTATCCGTGGCCGAAAGCGAGTGGGTCAGTCCCATCCATGTGGTGCCAAAGAAGGGGGCATCACGGTGATCGAGAATGAGAAGAAGGAGATGGTCCCCATCAACATCACTATCGGGTGGAGAATGTGTATTGACTATCGGTGACTCAACGTCGTGACAAAGAAGGACCATTGCCCGTTGTCGTTTATTGATTAGATCCTTGACCGTCTCTCTGGCCACCAGTTCTATTGCTTCTTAGATGTACTCTTGGGATACTACCAAGTGGCCATAGCTCTGGAGGATCATCCCAAGACGACCTTCACGTGCCCATTCAGCACATTTGCTTTCAGACGGATGCCTTTTGGCCTATGCAATGCACCCGGACCTTCCAACGGTGCATGTTCTTTATTTTCTCCGACATGCTCGAGGTTTGCTTGTAGGTTTATGGACGATTTTTCTATCTTTGGCACTTTATTTTCTGATTGTCTCCATAATTTATCTCGTGTTCTTGAGAGGTGTATAGAGTCTAATTTGACATTGAGTTAGGAGAAAAGTCACTTTATGGTGACTAGTGGAGTTGTGTTGGGCCATGTGGTGTCTAGTTGGGGGATTGAGGTTGACAAAGCCAAAATTGATGTGATTGAAAAACTACCCCCTCCTGTGAATGTGAAAGGTGTTAGAAGTTTTTTGGGTCATGTTGGCTTCTATAGGAGATATATTAAAGACTTTTTGAAAATTAGTCAGCCTCTGTGTCACTTGTTTGCTAATGATGTACCATTTGTGTTTGATGATGCATGCATAGATGCTTTTGCTAAATTGAAAAATAAGCTTGTGACTGCTCCTATTGTTATTGCTCCTGATTGGTCTTTGCCTTTCGAAATTATGTGTGATGTATCGAACCTTGCTGTTGGAGTCGTCGTGGGCCAACGAGTTGATAAATTGCTTCGTGTGATTTATTATGCTAGTTTGACCCTGAATGGTGCCCAATTGAACTATACCACTATAGGAAAAGAACTTTTAGCCGTTGTATTTTCTCTGCAGAAAATTAGATCTTACATTTTGGGGTCTAAAGTGATTGTGCATTCTGATAATGCGGTTCTTAGGTATCTTTTGAGCAAAACTCAGTCGAAGCCTAGGTTTATTCGATGGATTTTACTGTTGCAAGAGTTTGATGTACAAATTCGTGATAGAAAAGGTTGTGAAAATGTGGTTGCTGATCACTTGTCTCGCATTGTTCCTACTGACCCTTCACTTGTATTGCATGAGCATGTAGGTATAAATGATGATTTTCCTTATGAGCATGCGATGAGGTCTTTAATATTCCTTGGTATGCAGACATAGTGATCTATTTATCATGAAGTCTTGTTGTCTAACCTCTCTTCCCAAGAGAGGAAACAATTTTTTTTTTTTTTTTTTT